CAATTTAATCGTGATATTACGTATTATTCGGTTTGGAGTTGCGTTTTAATAGATAAGACCGACGATTATGCGGCGCGCAGTTTATCTGAACTGATAATTGTAAGATTCACATATTATAATATTATTAACCACCAAGATCCTCTTTGCACCGCGTTAGTGATAGTTTCGCATTTCAATTGTTTGTAAACACTCCTCAGTCGATCCTGATCTTAATTCTTTATAAAAAAATTGAGTCGAAAAGTTTTGAGATATTTTTGACTATGATTCTAAATAAAGCGATCATTACTGCAATAATTATTGCTTCAATGAGCTCAGTTTTTTTTTAAGGAATAACGCTGTAGTTAGTGGTCGATATTTAAGATACACTCTGTAAATTTTTTACGTTGATGTGAAGAATTGAATTAATCCGAAAGAGAGAGAGAGATATGAGAGAGAAAGGGAGAGAGAGAGAGAGAGAGAGAGAGGCTTAAACTAATAATTTTTACAGAAATATTTATGTTTTTTTAAATATACTTTTTTCTCAAATAAAATGTATGGCCAAGTTTGACGTATAATTCACCATGAATTCGGCACGAGACGAGAAAGGCATCCTATGATGTCTCTAAAGAAACTGAAACCCTTTCTGTTGCTAAGAAATAAAAGTCATGACTGCGTTTGCGCAAGAAAATTATTTAAACTATACATTTAAGAACTATCACTCTGAATTATAAATTGAGGTAATTCAAACTAATTTGTTTCTGTCTATCATAAAAGATAAGACTTTAATGTTAAAATAACATAATATTGTTCTTATGGTTATTCTTCGATCATATGAAATTTACAAAATATTCAAGAGAAATAATTTTTACTATAGGCGCAGTTGTGTCACAGTTCTCGTGTGAAATGTATGCGATCGAGGAACGCTACAAGATTAATCGGGTATTTCTTAGGACACTTGGACTATGGCCCTATCAACAGTCGTACTTTATGCATAAAGTTCTGTTTGCTAGTATACTTTTGACATTTATTCTTGCTCAGGTACATCAAATCTAAAATTATGTGATAAAATAATGAAATTTTCTAAATACACGCATTAATAGACACTTCTCTTTATTTTATCACATATTTCTTATCTAGCATAGAATGTATGATTTTTTTATTAACATTTTTATAAAAAATCAATTTAATTAAATTTTTCAAATAATATTTTTATTTTGTTTTTTATCGTGTAATAACGTTTATTTCATGTTTTAAATATTTACGTAAAAATAATTTGCAATCAATATATGTCTACTTTAAATATTATTTCTAGTTGCTGGTATTTATTACAACGCAATACAATACGGATCTTCTTTTCAATATTCTTTCATTCGTCCTTCCTGCTCTTTTTGCCACTGTAAAATATTTCCTTTTTATCTTTAAGACAAATAGTGTAAGTCTATAAAAGACAAGCCGATTATTTGAATATTTTTAAATTGTAACACGTATAAAGTAAAGTATTCTAAATATTGATAAGAAAAAATGGAATAAACAGTTGAAGCAACTACTGGAGCAAGTCCAAAATGACTGGAATTCGTTAAAGGATAAATGGGAAATTAATATTATAGAAAAATATACTAGCAATGTAAGAGCTTTCACAATAAGTGCGCTGGGTAAGGGAGAACACAATTTGTGATGTATTCTATATAGAGTGTATTTTAAATAAAGCCCACTAATTACAACATTATTCCTTGCAAAAAACCTAGTCAAAAATTTTAAACCATTTCTTTCTACAATATGTACAGTCGTGGACATATCGATTGCGACATATTTTTTTATAGGTTTTTAGTACATATTTAATATATGTAATATAATTTTGTAGGTAACTAATATTTTGCAAATGCGAACCACGATGGTATACTATCTTTAGTCTAGAGAGTACACCAATTGTAGTTTGCATTTGCAAAATATTAGTGCATTTCGAAACTTATTTAAAAAAAAAAGTGTCGTAACCGATATGTCCGCGACTATACAATGAAGCAATTGCTCCTACAGTAATTTTAGCTTCAGCATTACAGAAAAAAGATTTTTGGTTTAGGACTTTTTAACTCAATTTTTTATAAGGAATAACGCTATATAATTATTGAGCGCTGTGCAAGAACAATTTTGTTCTACAATACTCACTCTCTAAATTTTCTGGCGTGAATCTCACTCCAAAAGAGTGAAATCTCACTCCAAAAGAGCGAAAATACTGTCACTCGGCCACTTGAGTGGCAGTATTTTCACTCCTTAGAGTGAAATTGCACTCCAAAAAATTTAGAGAGCAATAAAGTATGTTTTCACGATTAACATTTTTTTAAGATAATTTACATAATTAAATTTAAATTAGATTTAACATTTCTTAGCGCTATGTTATATTAGCATATTATTTTTTGGGATATTTCAATGTCTGCCGTTGATTCTTGACATTATATTACCATTGAACGAATCACGGCCCTATCAGCTTGTCACGATCACGGAATACTTTGTCAGTCGAGATAAATATGTTCACGTCATGTTGTTACATGAGTTTTTAGTCGGTTATATAGGATTAACCACAGTGTGCGGCACTGGTTCGACAATTACGATATATATAGCGCATGTATGTGCACTACTTAAAATTGCAAG